AACGCACACGTAATTCCTCTGGAGGTGCGAGCGTGATGGGCGGCGCCAATTGAGTACCTACAATTAAATAATCTGTCTACTCACATAGCACATGAAAACAGAAAACATATTGGGTGTTCGGAATCATTTGAGATAGGAACAGATGAGTCTTATTTCGCAATCTCTTGTCTATGGATGTTCTCTCTGAAAATAAATGACTTGAAATGTCTTTTGTGTACGTTGACGGTACATAATTACGATGTTTTGAGCAATTTTTTTACAGATTTTTTATTTTAATTTATAATGCTCTACAATTTTTTATACATTGTTTTTATGTGTACTTTTATCAGAATTATCTAAAACAAATGTGATTGGTTTAAAAATTACCTACATTCTGTATCGGGATACGTCATTGTCGGCTCCGGGGCCAGAAAAAACCTGCTTCATTAAAGGTAAAATACCTTTAATTCTAATTTAATGTGATGCCTTTACAGATTCACTTTTAAGTATGTACATTTGCTGCATGCAGTGTAATTGTTTAAATATAATGATAAATTTCTAATTCGATGATTATCTCTAGCATTTAATAACATATGAGTCATTTAACCCACTTATGGTACAAACCTAAGCTTTTTGGGAACCTATCTATATGTGGACCGCGAACGGGCGGGTATTATAGTTAGTAAGAGCCTTACACTCACTCCCTCACTCACCATGGGCGGGAAATTGTTGATGTTTTTTGCACTCACAAAAATATCTATATGTGGATCCACCATCTAGAGATCCACCATCTATTTAAAGATTTAGTATTTACACTTGAGTACGAGAACTCAACTCCTCGTACTTGATTCACTCGTTGATTTGAAACATACTTATTACATTTAGTTTAATTTTGTAAGAAGTTATTACCACTTAACTAGTGTAATCTTTTGCTAGAACATCATTTACATTTCAATTTTGTGTTATTCACTATTTGAGTTTGAATAACAATAAAGCATTATTAGAACCATTAGTTACTATCTCATGGTTATTATACTTTATTTGGTAGAAAGTATTTTTTAAATATAAAATTAAAAAACGGGCTGATAATCGGTCCCTGCGGAACACCATACAAGCAATCAGAGAAATCTTTCCATTTACCTCAATGCTCTGAGCCCTGTTACCTACTCAAGTATCAGTTAAAACGGTCCAAGGGAGGGGCAACCCTCATTCCATAATGTGATACCTGCCATGTGTAATGATCACTTACCATCAAAGTGACAAGCCTCTGAGATATGAGGGAGTAGGTGCAAATAAACTGAGATTTCGAGAAGTATATTCATAATAATGTTCTGCGTCTTTCAGAATGATATGTAGACGCTGCCAGCGGTCTCTCAGAAGTAGTGAAGGTCTCAAATGTGGGATTTGCGAGTCCTGCTTCCATATGAGATGTGTCAGTGATTCTGTGAAAGACAACCGCGAAAGCGGAGATAAGGGTTACCAATGGAAGTGTTCTCTCTGCCAGAACTATGTGAGCGCACATACTAGCGGCTCAGACGTAAGCTGCAAAGAGAAGGATCACGCGGGATTAATGGCGGCCGTTAGCGCCATAAGCGAAAAGTTTGAACTCGTAAATAAAATTCAACTACCGAAATTAAACAGCGAACTAGCACAGATTAAAAGTGTCGCGGATCGGATAGTCCAACAGAATGACGACATACTACGGAAAATTAATGAAATTGATGAGAAAAGAAAGAATGAAAAGCATTATTGTACGACTAATACAAGATACAGAAGAAGGAATATTAGTCTAACACCAAAACCGATGCCAACTGAAATAAAGGAAGAAACACCAGCACTTACAGATAAAAATGTAAGGTATAGGACTCGGAGACGGTCGTATCTGTTGCACAGAATATTTATCATACTAAACAGAAAAATGAGAAGAACTCAGCCTTCTAAAAAATAACACGTTTAGTGAACGTTCCAATAAAAATGCTTTTTGATTCTTGATTTTTATTGAAGTAAGTTTATCTGTAGATATCGTAGGTAGTTATTGGTGGGCATACTTTTTTGGAACAGAAGATTTCTTGGTCGATATTAGTTCTAGTTTAATTGATTACGTAAATTATAATAACAGAATTTTTACAGACAGACAGAAACAGAGTATTTATGTACTAAAACGATGACTGTCAGAATGTTACTATCGTCCTCGGCTCCTTAAAACACCCCTGTCTGTCTAGGAAGGCGGGTAAGGGTAGCGGTAAGGTAGAATAGAACCAGAATCGAGCGTAAGGCGCGTAGCGTTCTGCGCACCTCAAAGAGCCAATAGACCACCACCGATGGGGCCCTATAGATGATGTTTAGCTGGGCTTGGGTGGTAAGCGCAATGAGGTACCACGGACTCAGCCTAAAGCAGGATAAGGAACGAGGTGGGGCGGTTTAGTCAATAAGAGTCCGACACCCCCTCTCGCCTCACTTTGGGCGGGAGAAGTCATAGGATGATTTTCCCCTGACAAAAAAGACTCCTTAATACCAATGCGCCTATGCGGTAATCACCAACATTACACACTTGTACCATAATGTGCTATTTAATTATTAGTCTTAAGTATTTAACAACAATTTTACGGTTGTCAGCCAGGTAGATATGATACCAAATATTTATTAATGATTATGATATGACAACATAAAGGATTAATCGAGCCCGAATGCGTTTAATTTGCCAATCGGAGAATGGCTGAAATGTATCTAAATGTTTAAGTACCTATGTAGAGAAAAAATGTGTGAGGACTTCAAAATAGTTTGAGAAATAACGTAAGGGAGACACAAATGGTCATATCTTTATTACTTTTACAGAAATATTTATGTATACCTGCTCAGATTATCGAACAACGTATCTATGTTATTTGGAAGGCTTTCTTTCGATTCCTTTTGCCACAGTACAGCAGGATGTTATCACTGACATTTTTGCTATACATGAACAGCAGGCGCTTAAAAGTTATAAGTATCATTTTACATCATCAGTCACAAGCACAAGTGCCCACTGCTAAGCAACGGCCTCTTACACGAAGGAGCCTGGACCAGCAATCACCACGCCTACTCAAGGCGGATTGGGATTTCAAACTTATTAACAAATTATAAGTTCTGGTTTCCTCACTATGTTTTCCTTCACCGTATATCAGTGGTGTCTAAATAATCACAGAGAGTACATATAAGTCGAAAAAATCACATTAGTACTTGCCAGGTTTCGAAGCAGCATCCTCAGTTCCTCATGCAAAAGAAGTGGCTTAACCTCTGGACCACTACGACAAACGTCATTTAGATACCCATATTGTTTGATTTGTGTTATCTTTTAAAAATCTCATGGATGCTAAAGCGTTTGATTCACTCTTTCAGATTCGGTTCTACAAAGAAGTATTTACGTTGCATTTGTAGGCATAGGAATTTATAAAGTTTTCCCGCAATTTAAAGTTGAACTATTAGGTTTTTTGTATCTATTCTTTACAACAAATATCGGCTACACTCTGTAGACTATGCTACTTCCAAGTAACTTTTTGAATAATGCAGACGAAATTCTAAATGATCCTTTTACACACCAATTCACATTTCAATACTTATCTACTTTTTCATATTGTATATATAAGACACACGACATTTGTTAGAATTTTTTCGTATGGAAAATAGTCAGTACCTAACTCTTGAATTTATAAAACTATTCTTGATGTTGTGTTCTTTTTGTGTAAAAACTGGTTTATTAATTTCAATCTAAATTTTATTATACAGTTATATTTTAGACGCATGAATAAATATTATAGCTTCAGTTCAAGAAACTTTATTTATAGAGATTAGGATAGTAGTCTGCAAAGGTACCTAGGTATCTATGCTGAACAATATGTAAATTATTAGTTATGCTTTGTCATCAATAACTATTTGTTTTTGTTATTTTAACTATATTTTTGTCAAACATCGTTTACTTATGGCTGAATTTGAATTTGAATAAACTGTGGAATAGCCTCTTAAGCAAAATTTAAGCGCCATTTGATTCAAATGATTCTATTGCTTCTCGTTATTTCGTATCTTAGATTTGTTTTTCACATAGGTACTTGTAATAAAACCGACATATATACATATACCAACGATAATCCAAACTAATATTATAAATGCGAAAGTAACTCTGTCTGTGGGTCTGTATGTCTGTCTTTTCTTCACGCCTAAACTACTAAAGCTATTTGTGTGAAATTTGATAGAGACATGGTTTGGAACTCGTTTGTTAACCAAAAATCACGAACAAAGTTGCGGACCATAGCTAGTTAGCAATATTTTGCAGTTTACAGCTGCTAGTCGACCTCTGGGATTGCGGATCACGCGCAATAATCCACAGCGGCCCCGTCCCCCATCAGTAAGAGTCAGGCACTACCTCTCGCCCCACCTATGGCAGGAGAAGACATTGGATGGTTTACCCCCAAAACTAAAAAGCAACTGTTAATAGTACCTCACACAGTCAAATGTATTGTATGTAGTACACCAATTCAGTTTCTTTTGACCAAGATTAAAAAATTAAACGCTCTATTTTAAAAGCTGGCACGAATTGCTTAATATTTTTTTTAGGATTTCGCACTCTATTATTTCGCATTCTAGTAAGCCGGTCTCTTGTAGTCCAGTCCGGTTTCCTATACTTATCCATTCCATCCATTGTTGAGAAGTGCTCTAATCTAAAACATGTAAACGACTAATCTGTATGTTGTAAATTGAGCATGCATCATAAAATCTAGATACTTACGGACTTAGTTATATTTTCTGCAGAATATACCTTCCTAAGCAATAAACCATCAGAAAGATAGAATGTACTTATTATGCTGAATGTTTATGTTTAATTAGTTTTCCTACAAATAAGTCCTACTTAGTAGTTGTACGTAGGAAAAGCCACATTGTAACATAATCGTGGAGTGTAAGTTCATTTGTTTAGAATTACAAGAAACGCTATTGGTACTCACAATAAAAACCTGAGGCTCACCGTCGTTTGTTATCATTTCGTGTTTGCTTTCGAAGCGGCACGATCATCTGCATGCGGTCACGTCAAACCGGTTTCATTTATTAGACTACTTTAGAAAAATGTTCAAGCCTATTGTGATATTCGTTGCTTTAAATTTACTTTTAAGTATTTATGTCAGTGATGTGAAGAGCGAGAAACAGCCGGTTGTACGGACCCCGCTAGGCGAAGTAGCAGGGTACTACATGCAAACCAGGGGAGGGAGGCAGATAGCTGCATTTACAGCAATCCCTTTCGCAGTCCCTCCCGTGGGAGACTTAAGATTTAAGGTAAGTTCATTTATTACTTTTTATAATTATTTGCAAAGTGCAGCGGCAAATCTGATATCCTGTTGTTGGTTTTTATAACAATTAAGTTGTACCTATTATCAGATAACTTTGTCAGCACAGATGAATGATGATAAACCCATTTTATTTTGTATTGTTGATTTCATGCTTTTATTTTATTACTTTCTTAATCGACGGAAAATGCATCGCCTATGGGTACTGTATTGTTTAGATTAAGAGCCTGTTTAACAATAACTGATAAAGTTTCTGTTACCTTGACTAAAATGTTTGGACACATTGTGTATTGGGAAAATAAGACGAATTATTATCAAAGTAAGAACAAAAATGTAGGTACACTGCTCTACCACTAGAGACACAACGTTTTGCACCATGGCCTCTGGTAATCGCGTATCCTTCGCTTCAAAACTAATTTATTTCCTTAAAGACGATTTTGAAGTTGTACTAATAGACATAGATATTTAAATATTTTAAGAATAAATACTTTACACTCCTTTTCGGAACTTGCCAGCCAGCCTACAGAAAAATATTCTTCAAAGAATCGTATAATAAATGTTAAAGTCATCACAATTAAATTAGACACCATTATTAATGTATTTTTAAAGACATTTAATCTATTTTTTTTTAACTATTGGAAACAATAAAAGGATCAATATTTTAGATGAGTAGGTAATGTATGTGACATGCAAAAAGTTTTATTAAGAACATACATATCTAAGTAATTATTTGTAAAGGTTAATTCGTTTCCTCAACAAAACAATATCATCAAGTTCATATCACTAGGTAGTGGTGCCATGTTTGAAAAACTATGTGCCTATGTGGGAAGGTACTTCGAAAACCTGTTTTATAAAAACAAAGCAAACGTCACTCAAATTCTTATTTCGGCGTCACTGTTGCCGATGTTAGGATATTACTTATTGTTACGCAAGGGATAAGTGTATTTTATTAGTATAGAAAAAATGAATAGCTGAAAAATAAATAAAATATGCTATAACACACAATAGGTACTTATAGTTTTAATAAGTGCTTATAGGGAATTTACCAATAAAAAATTTGTTGAGTATGTTAGGCCAAAATATGTTTGTTAAAATCTGTTAGTTGATACGTATGTCAGTGGCGTAGCATTGCCTGAATTATAATAAACGTGTTAAGGTTGCATCACTGTTATGCTTCGGTATAAAAAAGGTGTTATAGTATTAAGTGTTGGGGCCCGTGTTGAGGATTCGCGAGGCTCTTTATATGTGATGCAGTAGATTAGGGCCCACGCCTAGCTACGCGGTTAAACAACATTTAAAATTGAATTATGTAAAAAATAACTAAGTACATTTTCTGTATCAGCGTATGTGTTTTATGTTATCTATTTCTCTATCTTTATTTCGAATGCGACTTTGTTTTTGGTCATGTTTATCTTCAAGCATTTAAATGTCTTTTTTTATTTATGTAAATGTCCCATTTGAAACCTATCTTTCAAAAGTAGCATACGATCTACAGGAAATATCGATAGAGGAGAATAGACGTGATCTAGAGTAGAGATAGAGACAGCATCTGGGAAGGGTTGAAGATCATGTTTTATGGCGTACTGTTGAAGAAGTTTAGAAGTCTATGTTCGTCTCATGTGATCGTAAAAGAATGATGCTGATTGCCCTCATCTAGTCATGGCTTAATTTGAAAGCGAAAAAGGACAAAAGCAAAGACTTTCTATCTTAATGTTTTCTTAGAGTTTTCTGCTACCCTCTAAATGTTGGAGAGCTATGATTCGGAACGATTGGATCGGTTCAACCGGCGTGATACAAAACACGGTGACAAAAACCCGCGTGAAATAATAGTTACGTCACGTTTCGCCGTGCATGTGAGGTTGTCGGAGCCCCAAACCTTCCATGTCCAATTCTCCTCACTCGAATCTGAAATTGCATTTGTCCAAAGGCGGCGCCGATTGCTTACTATCATATAACGCGTTACCTATTTCGTACTGACCTCTTATGATGAGTCCAAAATAAATGATAGATAATTATAATTATGGCATTACTAACAAGTAGGTAGGTACTCCGCTGTACCACCGAGGCATCGTCTTTGCGGTGAGGCTTCTTGTAACTTGATATTCAACGATTCGTATTTTGAGAAAGAAGTTTCAGAAGTTTTACTTACACGTTGAAGTTCTTGCCTATTTTCGAGGATTGATACTGGCAAGTTGTATGGGGTGCAAAAGTCGAGTTTGGCTCTGGTATTTGACTGTATAAGTAAAAATCCATCATCGGCATATCCCAGTAATATGCAAGGCGATACGCAAGAAGATCACCAACACCCTTCCACAGATAAGAGCCCACAACCAAACCTTGGGGAGTCCCATTAAAGATGACTTCGACCGAGAATAATGACTGATTTCAATTTTACTCAGCTTACAAATTATTTGAATATAAGTTTATTAATATAACAACAAAAGCCTTTTATTTAAAAGTAGCATTGGCATCCTCGCGTGGTCAAAGTCACTCGAAATATCTAGGAAAATGCCGACAAGGTTCTTATTTTTAGTTGTGTTTAGATGAATTTTCTAGTGCTTAGATCTAGAGCCACGTTAATAGTGAATTTATTTACATTAAAACCGAATTGGTCCGTAAGACTTAGTAGGGACATCCGTCATTTTTGGGGATACTGGGATAGTAATATCGCGTTACCTACATCACTTAACAATTCTAGTAGCTCTTTATTCCTGAAGGGGACTCGAACTTTGTGTGAGTCACAGTTAGGCATACCTAAACTAAACTAACCTACGAGTAACCTAGTATTCCCGTCACTTTTCAACTAACGCAAATTTCTCCTTACCGTTGTCTGCGGTAGTGCGGTAAGGAGGTTCGCTGCATTCCCAGATTAGTGCTACCTATATTTTCAGACGGCCCATATAACTCAGTGGTACGCGACAAACCCACAAACGGGCCACCACTTTAATTTCTGAGATAGTGTGTTCCGACAACTATGAAAGCATTCTTGAGGAGTGCCACCTCGACGTCCAACTGTATTGTAGCAAAAACTTGCTACTGCTCTTGTCGAATGAATTACTACTTATTGAATGAGAATGTAGCTGTAACTGACGATAAATCTCAATAATTAATAAACCAATCAACAAGCCATTATTATTTAATATATTAAATAGTTTTTTTTTGTAGCGTTCAGTTCGAATGGCTATGCTAGGCTAAGGCGCAAGGGAGAAAACTGAGCATCTGAGCAAATTAGTCATTTTCTGACCGATTAGTCTTAAATGCATGTACACGAGGTACTTTTAGCCCTCTTCACTTATTGATAACGGGGGTTTAACCCAAAATCTCATTTTTTATAGATATACCTTATATTATATGCATATCTACAACTTATTTTATGAATCGGTTATGAGTTATCAGTACAGATTAATGAAAGTACATTGTTATCTAAGTTCTCGCCTCTTTGTGCATTTTCTTTATCGTCGGAACTGATTTTTATCCTTAATGTACAAAAGTAATGAAGACGCTATGAGTATCGCATTCTTAAGAATAAACTGTGATGAGACGTGGAACTCAAGAATCTATTGCAAGAGTTGGTTAGGTAATCTACCTGAGAATAATTTTATTGAGTGCTTTACGCCTTAAGATACTCTTTTATGTTTACGATAATGATGTTGATCAATTATAAATAAGTAAGCAAGTTTCTTAATCTGGGGTTTGGAGAGGAGTCTACCTATACCTAAGCATGGAGCTTGTATTTTATATTAGGTAAATATGTTATCGATGATCATTGATTGACCTTATAATAGTGCAGCCATTTTGTTTAACCAGGCCCCAGTTCCTGTGGAGCCATGGCAAGAAACGTTAGATGCGACCAAAGTCAGCCCTGTCTGTGTACAGAGGAACCCGTACACTCGGCAAGAAGAAATCGTTGGACAAGAAGATTGTTTGTACCTTAACATCTATACACCAATCACTGACAATGTACGTATAAATTATTTAAGTATGACTTTTTTCTAATCACATGTAAGGAGCTCAGCAGAGCATTGTCCTTCTAACGAATTAATAAGAAGTTTTACTATGCTGACATTTATTTTTTTAACTCACTCTGCCATTCAAATTCTGGTTAATCCAGTTTCTATTTAATCTTAGTGACTACGGTTTGAAATAATAAGTTGACTGAGCCTCCCATTCAGTAATATAATTAGTAATCATTTGAATCGTTGGCAGGATGTGGGCGAGAAGAAGAAGTTGTTACCGGTCATGGTGTTCTTACACGGAGGTGGTTGGATGTGTGGAAGTGCCACCACTGACATGTATGGACCGCAGTTTCTTCTGGATAGAGATGTTGTATTTGTTGCGACGAACTATAGATTGGGTTAGTATTAGCACGACGCACATTGATCTGCAAAAAACTTCTTGAAATACTTTGAATATTTCACGGGAATACCAGTGGTTACAGTTTAAATTTAATTTCAGGACCTCTAGGCTTCCTTTCTACTCTAGACGAGAATTGTCCCGGCAACAATGGCCTTAAGGATCAGCAAGAGGCTTTACGGTTTTTGCAAAAAACTATAAAGAGTTTCGGCGGTGACCCGAACTCTGTAACTATATTCGGAGAGAGTGCTGGAGGGGCGAGCGTTCACTACCACATGATATCAGAGACCAGCGCAGGTAATATTTTACTGTAATCATCGAGCATAATGAGGCGTTATTTGATACAGGCAATAAATCCCTAATTAGGTGGGTAGTCTTAATAACAATAAACAATTGCCCATTTGTGCCACTATAACGAAGTAAATTACAATTGTTAAAGTAAACAATAAATCTAAATTATGTGCTTATTATTGCTTTATGTAGGTAATACCTATTTACTTGGTGTTTTAGAGATTATATAATTTGTGCAATTGTCACATGCATTGAGAATAATGTGTCTTATCAAGTAATCTACATCTGTATATTATTATGTGTATTATTATGTAGATATTGAACAATTTACTTACTAAACAGATAATGTAGTATATATGCCTAGCACAGTAAGTATAACCCATATTACCTTACATTGCTGCTATTGACGGAGTTCAAAGAACTTAACACTATTGTGGTTGATTGGAAAGTTTGAAAGTGTTTGCAACAGAGGGGACAACGCGCACTAACATTTTATTGGTATACGTCTTAGTAATGTGTACCCAGTAACTCATGGCATGCCACTTTGACCTAAGTTTCTTACCAACCAACATCAATGAAGAGAAATTAGATATCTTTTAATTTACTAATCTCAGATATGTTTGGTATGTGTGTGCGGGCGAAATTTACAACAGGATTTCTTCATTGCAGGACTGTTTCATAAAGGAATATCAGAGTCAGGAACAGCTCTTGTACCGTGGGCCGAAGCCCCGCCTGGAGAGCCCCTCCGCAACGCTTTCTTCCTGGCAAAGTCCCTGGACTGTCCTCAGGCACCTTCTGCTAAAATGATCGAATGTCTTCGCACTAAGGACAGCTATGATATCATCGGCACGGAATTCAGTTTTTACGTACGTCACAGCACGAAAATGAAATTAAAATACTTACTACTCAGGCGGCACATAAAAAACTAAGAATTAACATTCGTTACTTTAATAATATTATGCAGATTTATGTTGGCAACAATATTTTTTATTTTATCTAGCAAGCAATCAATAATTACGGCTTTGCATGTAATAATGATAATTTACTTCTCTCTCCGACATAAGTATATGTAAAATATGTTTTAGAAATGGGATTATGAACCGATGACTCCATTCAAAGCTGTGGTGGAACCCAGCCTTCCCGGTGCATTCTTGACGAGGAGTCCTCGTAAAGTACCAAACGTTCCTGCAGTTCCCTGGATGACGGGCCTTACCAAAGACGAAGGCTGCTTGAAATCAGTTTGTAAGATTTCTTTATACTAATTACCTATGAATAAAAAATTAAAAGCTATATTAATCTATCATGTGTTCTTTGTAAAGTCGTTACTATAAAGAAAGCATTGTGTTTTAAGGGATTACGGCGTATAAAAACAGATACCTGGAATTCATGTCCGGTTTTGAGACGATCGGTCCGGTAACATTTTACTACGAAAACTCGCCTTACGCTGAGGAAATTACGCAGAAAATCCGTAATAAATACTTTAAAGAAAATGATGAACAGGCTACGCAAAGAGGAATTCTTGATGTAAGTAACTTATCTATAGATATCAAAGACCCTGTTTGTGTGTTGGTAATTATATACATATAAAAAGAAATACATGTATGTTTATTACCTACAAGATATATTTTTACATACATATAAACCAAAATAAACTTTTTTAAACAGGATTTTTTATGATAGAATATATTCTTCACGAAGTATATAGGGAGGGATATTATTGTTAGAAATATATGTAAATATGTATATTACTTTGTGGAAGTTTATAGTATTTATAATTGGTCTAGAATATGCTTCCATTGTGCACTTACGATTGGTTTATATGTATGAACCATGAGTAATAGAAAAAGCAATGAGTTCTTTGTATAAATCGCATTAAATAAACACTTTAAACTTTATTTTCAGATTTATACAGACTCATATTTCGCTTACCCAGCCATAGAAGCTATAGAGTTAGTATTCAACTACACCAAGAATCCTGTGTACCTTTACGAGCTTACATATAGGGCTGCCAACAGCTTCTCACAAATATTTGGTGACCCGCAAGGAGATTATGGTAAGCATTCTTGGAAATATGAGTACTTAGGTAACTTTATTGGCTTCCTTTTTTAATTTCCGATGAATTTAAGAAATATTATAAGTAAATATATTTCTAATATTTTTATTTCATTACATTTTTCATTTTGTTCTGGTATCATTTATCGTTTTTTATTTTGTACACAGATACAATAAAAAACATTTCTATTTTTTTCCTTTAATCGTAACATTTTTCACTAGTTGTAAACGGTTCGATTTTCTTTGTCTCATTAGGTGTATGCCACGCTGATGATCTTATGCATTTGTTCCCAATCGAGTTTCTCACAAATCCCATTACACCAGAAGATCTAAAGATGAGCGAAACCATCGTAACTCTATGGACCAACTTTGCAACTACAGGGTAAGTTGATAAGCATATCTTAATTAATCAAACATCAAGCGAGCTCCGGCGTTTGCGTTAACTATTTTGTCTCCAGTAACCATGATTGCAATATGGTTTAACAAGCAATTCTTATATCTAAGTATACATATATGTATGTATGTATGTGTATAATCTGAATCTCCGGAACGGCTCTCAACAAGTTTGATAACGTTTAATATAGGTTTTCCGAAACATTATCAAGTAGTGTGATAAAGATGTGTGTGCAGAAAACGAGTTGGAAAACTTAAAAAATGACCCAATTTGTTTAAATCTGATTCCACCATTTAACTTCCAGAAATCCTAATAAACCTGTACCCGTGCCATTCAAGTGGGAAACAGCAACTTCTGGACGAAATATGGAATACCTCGAATTAGGACCGAAGCCCCAAATGAAGAAAGACCTGGCGCCCCGGTCACGCTTCTGGGGCACATTACCCCTGTGGCAAAATATGCGCAATCACAGATTTATGGATGAACTATAAATATTACCTAATATTAAAATGAATGTATATTTCATGTAAGTATGCGTTTTGTATTTGTAAAAAATAAATATTGAAATGAAATACCAACAGTACTTATAACTTGAAAAAAAATATACTTATTTCATTTCCGAACTGCACAATAGGTAGAAAAAAAAACAGTTTAAAAGTTTGTATGTGTTTCAATACTAGACTGAGTTTATTTCGACATTGCCGTAAAGTTGCATATCTCTGGACTCCACCAAGAACTGAAATTATGATACGTTTTGGTTTCTTTCATAAGATTTTCATCGTTGGCCATAGCACAGAATCTACAGTATTCATTAGAATCTGGATTTTCGAATCTCCGGCCGAAACTGTAGTATTGCCGCCATCTAAAGTATCTATAATAGATTTCACGATTTTCTATAATATCGTACATTTCTTTGGCTAAATTCTTAGCTCCTAATTTTTTAGCATTTAAATATGAACCAGGAGGCAAAAACCTGAAATGATATAAGACATTTTACCTACACGTTTTACATAAGTAAATGATCAACTTTAAATCTACATGAACACTCACCTCGAGTAATCAGCTCCACCATAAACAATGGGCACGGTGTAGTGATTAAGGGCGAGTAAAACTTTTTCCGTGACGTAATCCTCACTTACAGCATTTTCAAAAGCTAAAAAGAAGTAGTAGTTCTTTTCAATCTCCTGTAAGCATTTACTCATGATCTCTTTTGGACACTGAAAAGTTCCACATGCCCCGTACATGTCAACTTTCAAATTAAAGTCACCTAAAAATATTTGCAGTTCATTCACAAACTCTTCTCTTTTGCTTGCTGTTTCACAATTTGATACGAACCAAGCAGCCGCCTTGTATTTAGTCTCTAGTTTTTGTTTTAACGCGTCGTCAATAGGAGCCATATCGTCTACGCTCATCCAATCCACTTCCAAACTTGGTCCAATGATGTGGTTACTTGAATTCATTACCACAATGTATCCCCAAATAGCGTCAGAGTTTAGTTTATAAGTCCACGTCCAGTTAAAAAAGTTATTCCAATCGTCTGTGCAAATGGGATAGTTAGCAGCTGCTTCGATATTAGCGTATACATATTTTTGTCGAAATGACCGAAGCCTCGGTAGATCTGCAACATCGAGCTGTGGGCCATTGAATGCAATAATGTCATATTCTGCTGAATTCCTCAGTAGCTCTCGGTTGCTTGTTACATAGCAATTAGTATATTCACATTTCGCTTTAGCAAAAACACTGTTTCCTTCCCCGAAATAAACGAAGGGATGTAAGTTAGGATCAGTCCAAAGTAAAATATATTTTGTTGTAGTTCTCGGTTCAGATGCTTTGAAATATTCAGTTGTTTCTAGGAAAGGTCGCATGGTTGTGATACGCGGAAATTCTACTAATGTTTTTTTTAGATAACTAGTATTATAAAAATAGAATAACACAAATATCAATGTTACAGATATTAAACAGTACACTGTCTTAATTTTGATGCACTTGAGATGGACGTTCATAATGAAAGTCAGGCACAACGTTAATGAGACGTTGTGAGTATTTTGAAAGACGCTCGTTGGTGTTTTGTTTGCATTCTTGTAGGTTATACTACAGAAATGCAAACATAGAGGACAACAAATTTAGAGTGCTAGTTTTAAATGGAAATTTCCCTTTCTAATCTAAAATCAAAGCCGGGAAATTCGTGGCTAAAATAATATACTCAATTAGGTAGTAATCCTATACCTACGTGTATGATGTTAATGAACGTTATTTACTTACCTACGTACGTATTATCACAACCACTACTATCCTTATTTTAGGTACCTGTGCGGATGGACAATGAAACACAAAACAATATGTTAATCTTATTATTAAATCATAAATTTAAATCCCGTCACGCAATTATCTATTGTTAAAGCACCGGCGCCGAGGCGTCAACGTGCCCCAAAATATAAATAAAGTGACCAAATCCATCAAATGAGTTCTTTATATTTAGATCACGTAGTTTCTAATATTATTGACCTCAATGCCGTTGATCCACGCTATAACTTAATGATAATAGCTCCCTCACTCTTCTAAACTTGAATATAAATATTAGGTACTAGCTATTTTCGCGCGGTTTCAACCGCTCCTAGGTTCCATTTGATCGTAGCGTGTATTTAGGCTATAGCACTCAGGAACATTGTAGCTATCTAACAGTGAAAGAATTTTTTTTGGTAATTCGACCAACGAGTTCAAACATTACCTCCTAATTACAAACTTACAAAATTTACCTTTTTATAGTCTTAGTATATATAGATTGGGCTGGCGGATATATTTTCTTCCTCCTTCCTGTTTTTAACCTACTAATATCACAAATATCCTTATCTTTAAATTTGTCATTTATGCAGTCTATTCATCTGTCTCTTGGTCTTCCGTTCCATCAATTCACATTTAAATTCAGTTCTCGTTACGTACGGATTCTACGTGACCTAAGAAATAAAATGTCAAGGATATCCTAGATAGATAAGTTTATTTTTGTGTGCATTTTTACTTTAACAGTACTCGAACTTCTAGTTATTTATTTATTCACGTAGGATAACCCACAGCTCTACACACTAATCAAACAGTCATTATTAATAAGTAGCTTTAGCCAATAACAGATTTAACTAAAAATACTTAAAAAATTTCTGCTGTTTCTCATGTTACGAATTTTCGCTGAAAGAATATTAAGGGGTTACTTTTTTCTTGGTCAAGCATGCCGCAATTATTCAAAACTGGTGCAGCTCCTGCAGGCCAAATCCTACAGACAGCAGAGAAAACCATGGAAACACAGATACGCTGAAGAGAACACAAGTAAATTCCACTCTCTCTAGTTCCTATGTGTAAGCATCAACATTTGTTTTCAAATGAAAAACTAGCGACCAAGACCAGCCTTGTCTGTTATTTTCCGATGTTTCCGATGTTCTTTTTTTTAACAGTACAAAAAATGGTAAGCCATACGGATGATAACGAGGATTAAAAAAAATTGAAGTCCGACGTCTAACTTTGAGATTATGTACACGTACACCACAAACAACTTTGTAAAAAACCATGTAAAGACTGTTGTGCCAAGGAAATAATTAAAAATAAAGATGTCCTAAGGTACATACTTAGATGTTAAGTCATTTTTTAGTAACGTCGGTTAAGGAAATGAAACCTGTTTATGTTTTTACTCAAACCTTCATTTATTTTTAGTCATTTTTTATTTTGTGTACCGCCAAGGTCAAATCGGTATCGTGCACGTCATTCAGATTTGATAAGTATATATAATTATGTATTTGTATGATCGCCATTGTTAAGGATAACCAGTGTACTATGTTTTGGTATGACAGCGATGTTAGTAATAAACTAATATGATAATTATTATTTATAGTTAGTATATTAGTGTTTTTCTTAACGGTAATTGTTAAGGTTAAGTAATACCTAGTTTCTGTAGGTCAGTAAGTAAGTTGTTACGGTTTTTATGTGATAGGCGACAAACGAGCAGATTAGGTTATCTGGGAGCCCGGGGAGCCCCGTAACATCAGAGTGCTTTGTGGGCCTTTTAAGGATTAGGGTTTTGAGGATTTAGGAGGGTTGAGGGATTAAAGAGACCGATAACCCCACTATCATGGTGAAATACAACGCTGTGGTAGTTTCACGTAATATCACTCCGATTCTGCCGGCCCCATTCATCGAAAACATGGCTCTCCCGCACCTAAAATGTTGCGGTTTTTATACACTTGTAAGATTATGAACGTTAACATATTTATTGTTAATCTTTTATGGCCTTATAAAAGGGTAGTCAGGACGCAATATCCAATGGCCAGAGGGACTTGGGATTTTGGCCTAACATTTGGATAAGTACATAAAAAGCTGGACACCAAAACTCTATGATGAGTATTATACGCTTACCCCGGAGTAACAGAGTAAAAAGTAGCCTATGTGTTAATTTATATACCTATCGAAGTCCAAAGTATATGTCATTCGTGAATTATGCAGGATTGTGAAGAATCTGTATCTGCATAAATGTTAAAATATTTAAAGCCGTTTTGGCCCAATTGTTGCGGACATCCGTTGAAGGTAGTTAATAATGTTAGGTAGGCTATGTTTCTTAATTTGTTGCTTTGCGTTCTATGATTGTGTCCCTGCCAAAAAAACAGCTATAGAAATTAGAAACTTTCCTAGCGTAGTATCTAGGTGCAATACGTATCTACAGGTAATAAACGTATCGGTACATGACAAATATCATGCAACATGCGAAAAAGTTATAAAAACTCTTAAATATGTAGCAAAGCGAAATCGTGCGGCCACTTTGCAATAAAAAACTTAAGTACTCAATTACTCTAGCTATCGCAAAATACGTGAAGTATTGTTCTCCACCTCTCTTTAAATGTTCCTTGGCAGTAATATTTTACATATTAGCGATTAAGTCTACCTATGTCTCTCTTTAACTTTTGCCTAGGACCGTCCAAGCAGTTCTGTTAGTTTGTTAATGCATTTGCTATTGTAACTTGACTATGCAATTAAGAATAAAAACTTACTTATATGTGTCTATCGCATCGCGAATTAGTGCGAATGCCAGAAGTAGAGTGATTAATTAAGACGATGCTTTCAACGTCATACTCTATTTTTGACTGTATTGGCTTCTTTATCCATATATTGGCCTCTAGTAGATGAAAACCCAATTACATCCAGCTGGTCGACTTGACTTGAGATGTATATTGCTTTGGCTTTGACGTTGCAGACTCTGATAAGTCTTGATATTAGTCGTTCAGTGTACCTAGTCCCTATTTAGTATGGCAAATCTAAGACCTTCATGGAAATGAAATAATTTTATGACTGGTCCACGTTTAACATTTTTTCTTCCTCTCGAATCGGTATTCTGTCTCGAGTCAGTATTTAACCTTCGTTCGCATCCTACCCTAATAATCCATACATTTTTTTTATGTGATAAGTCGGCAGACTCATTACCTGATGGTAAGCAATCGGCGCCGCCCATGGACACCCGCAACACCAAAGGAGTTACGAGTGCGTTGCCGGCCTTTTGGGGATAGGGGTTGCGGATATAAGGATTGGGAAGGCATAGGGGAAGGGGAGGGATTGGGTCTCCGGTAACCTCACTCACACGGCGAAACACAACGCTGTGGGTTGTTTCACGCCGGTATTCTGTGAGGCCGTGGTATCACTCCGGTCGAGCCGACCCATTCGTGCCGAAGCTTGGCTCTCCCACACTTACCTACTTAAAGTTTGATCGTAATTAATAAAACATAATCAAAATAGTAAAGCTTTATTTGAAAGGAAACGGCAGCATATTAAATGGAGCGTAAATGCTAAAAGCATACTGAATTGATACCAAAATTTAAAAAAGAAGACATTATATGGGGGAGTTCTAAGTTGATTAGGATTGTTGGTAGGTTTCAACCCCAAACTCTGACGGAATTGTCCCAGGAGCAACTAGCCAGTGCCACTCCGTTGGGCGACATCGAGATGGATGTGACACGATTCTCATGGCCACGGAGAGTTCCTAAAATTTAAATATTTTTTTAGACCAAGTAATACACTAAACGCTTATTTTTCAATAGTCAGATAAATGTTATCTGAGGAATAAAATTTTTGCTTATACAAACATTCTGACGCGACAGCATCATAATTATTCCCCAGGTAACTTTTATGTAACCATTGAAAAATCAGCCCTAAGATGTTATAAATTTAGGGATAGGGGGAGGGAAAAGATTGGACCTCCGGTAATCTCACTCACACGGCGAAACACAACACTGTGGTTGTGACGTGTTTCTGTGAGACCGTAGTTTCAAACTGGTCGAGCCGCGAGCCGACCCAAGCATCGCTCATCCACGCTTTAAAAGTTTTTGAGGTCTATAAAATCTAGAAAGAAAGAAAGAAAAAAAAACCATTTATCTAATGATATTTACATAATAATCGTATCATAATTACCAGTGTGAGTAACTTTTAGGGTATCCCAGGAATGCACGTCGTTGTCGTCAGATCCGGCGAGCAAGTATCTGCCACTAAGCGATAAACCTGAAATATTTGTCAACAAATCATCTCTGAGCTAACATTTATGACTAGGTGCTTGTTGCTAAAAGGTATTTGTGTCTAAGTAACTCGTAATAAATCCTGGTCCAGGTTTAATGGGAATAATTGTCTATCTATGGCGATCTCTGTAGGTGGTAGGTGTACAAAAAACTGGTAGATACTTTTTTTTGAAGAGGTAAAATCATCAATGTACTGCTCTTGCTCAGGTTAAACCCTGAGCGTGAGGCTTTTTTTATTGGGATAAGCCAGCTGCAACCTGCCAAAACCGCTGCAACTCCAGATCTACAGTCCTAGATACAACCATGAAAACACCGGAACACTGAAATCCAGCGCGTCCCAGGGACATGACTGACTATCAGGGAAGCGTGAGGCTGTCAGTCTGTTACTGACTACAAACTCTCTCGTTCCTTCCAGGTCGAGGCTGCAGTACCTTAATGCGATTGACCCGCGACCCCGGCTAAAGTGGTCTATTGGCTCTTTGAGGCATTTAGTAGAGGTGCTACCATGAATCTGTCATTATCATTACATATATTATATTAATTGTATTACGTTTAGATGCTGCAATTCTGCAGCTAGGTAAATTATGAAATTTACATAAAGTTCATAATTTTAGAAACTTAACAACATTTTAATGCTTTGTGTTTTTACCACGAAACGTACGGGTAGATCACCTACATGTGCAATTTATAAGTTGGCTGTAGAATAGCTCAGTTTAGATACGCATATCAACCACCTACAATCTATTTTGTAAACTTTATTCATTGACTTCCGATAATATCTGTTGAATATCAATAAACCCCATGGATCAAAACAGATTCCTATCGTAATGAAAGACAGACAAGGTCTTCAGATGCTAATATGTGAAAATAAATCAGAAAAGCAGGTTGTATACCACAGCTGGTGAAGCCTCCAGAGCCTGGAGGGGTGTAGTGTCCGAGCTGCTGGTCACTGCGAATATCAAACAATCGGGCTGTCTTATCTTCCGAAGCCGTTGCGAACGCGTGTCCACTGTTGTGGTACTGTGGATATAGAAAACATGTATTTATTGGTATTATCATCATCAGCGACGGCATTGATTGACGTCAAGACGTAGGTTGCATAAATATACACATTGTTTTAGATTGATCATACACCATGATGTGATCTTGCTTCCACGTCGCTCGAAGGGCGAGCGGTTGATGGGCCCGAAAAGTAATCGAGTAGCGATCAATGACCGGAAAGCTTAGGGTGGGTCTGACGTCGCCAGAATCGGGAGCCAATGAACGCAAGTGGCGAAATGTCGAGTCGTTCGACGTGGAAGACTAAGGCGGAGACCTTTGTTCAGCATTGGACGTCTTCGGGCTGATGATGATGATGAAGATGACGTTATATCATAGCTATGATGATATATTTATTAACCTATATATCTTTGTACTTACACAAACGCTGTTGACATCAGCCTCGTGGCCGAAGAAAGTTTGTTTCGCTTTCTCATCTCGAATGTCCCACAGTTTGCAGGTCTTGTCAACGGAACCAGTCACGTATGTCTTCATGTCTGTTCCAAATTAAAATTTATTAATAATTTAGCTTTTATCCTCCGTCAAACTAATGATCTAATTATAATATTGATCGGAATTAGTAGTCATTAAATTGACGGGCTGCTTGAAGGTAAGCAGTTGCCGTAGCATTAGTAAATAAATCCTTAATAATCTAAATACTAAAGGCATCAATAATCACGAATGTTTTGCCAAGTATGTAAAAAACTTTTAAAAATCACCATTTAATTTTTTTTTTGTTTTTTTTTTTTTTTTTTAATTATTCATTTGAAATAACCGTAAATATATTTATAAACAGAACTAGTCGTCGAGGCCCGGAGATTAAGGCACCCGTTTCTCATGCATGAAGGGTTCGAAACCTGGTAAATAACCAATGTTACTTTATCCAAGTTATATCCTACTTTCTATGCTTATTTAGACACCACAGACATACGATGAAGGAAAACATGGTGAGAAAACCTGGACTATAATTACTGATTACTTCAAGTTTGTAGCCGCCAGTTGGTGCTCAAACCTTCTCCGTGTGAGAAGAGGTTCTCGGCAGTGATGATGTGATATGAAACAGTAATGATTAAATGAACTGTTTACCTGGTGCTAGAGAAATGGTGACGACGTCCCCAGCGTGGGCATCGAATTCCATCTCGCGCTTTCCGACCTCCAAATCCCATACGCAACTATAATTTAATTTATATATTATATAATCAGAGCGTGAAACAACTACAGCGTTTTGTTTTGCCGTTTGAGGTAACCAAATGCCCAAACCCTCCCCCATCCCTTCCCAATCTTTAAATATCCGAAACCCTTATTCCTAAAAGGCCGGCAACGATCATAACACCTTTGGTTTTGCGGGTATTCATAGACAGCGCTGATTGCCTACTATCAGGTAACTCAAGCGCTCGTTTGCCGACCTGTAGCATAAAAATAATATCAAATAACAAAATGTAGCGCGATTTTCCTCTTGTTGGGGAAATATCAAATATCTTTTTAACGTAATTTAAAGTAACCAGTGAAAGATAATACTTACATCTTCATATCACCGGAGCCCGTAAGAATATGGGTATCGTCTAGGAAGCGGCAGCTGCTAAGGAAGCCTTCATAGCCGGCCAGTTCACGCACCATCTTCGCTGCGCCGGTGGAGTCGCGGTTGTTCACATCGTAAACCGTGCACATGTTGTCCATTCCTCCACAAGCTGAAACATCATCATCATCATTCTTCAGTAGGTATTATCAGTCATCGAAATTTAAAAGAACACAATATCAAAGGATGAAATAATGTAATAGTTACATTATATAAATAGGTACCTTAGCCGACGACGTCTATGACTATCATATAGATTAACCATAGAACTATACTAAATGCACAATAACCGTAAAACTAAAAAATACATAAAAATACTATACATATGTATTTAGTAGCCACTTTATAGTATTCGTAGATATTCAATTTACGCTATACCATACTGTGGTGGGTATTTATGTTCATACCAATAGTTAGGGTAACACAAGTATTCAAACTTGTATTAGGGAAAATGCACCTAAAGCTTTAATAGCTATAAATGGGACTTTCTTCGAATTCAAGTATTTTCCAGTTACCTACCTAACACCAGCTAAAAGACCTATTTAATACGGGAAAATGTTATTGGTATATCCTAGAGCCCAGACTATTAGCCCAGCTTCTGTTTTACAGGCATTGGCAATTTTTGAAAACCGGTGTAACACAAGGTAGCTAATCCCGATAATAATATGGTAATTGAATCCGAGATCCACTCTGTGTCTTGGTGGCCCGGAGGTTAAGGAGCCCGCTTCTCATGCATGAGAGTGTGGGTTCGAAACCTGGCAATTACCAATGTGACTTTTTCCGAGTTATATGTACTTTCTATTATATTTAGACACCACTGACAAACGGTGAAGGTAAACATCGTGAGGAAACCTGGACTTATAAATTCTAATTATAAGTTTGAAATCGCCAACCCGCATTGAGCATGCGTGGTGATTAACTCTAACCTTCTCCGTATGAGAAGAGGCCTTTGCTCAGCAATGGGCACTTATAGGCTGATGATGATCCACTCTGAGTGGTATCTGAGAGTTTTCTTTACGTTAACACGATCGAAAAGATTCGTTGCGTTCAGTCTTGTGATTGGTTGGCTAAATTCTAACCGGCCAATCAGAACGCCGAACGTCATGAACTAGTGTAGTAAAGCAAACTCGCAATCTCTGTTCACATTTCGCTGGTGACTTCTCGACGACGATAAAGTAGAGAATAACTTTTTTTAATAGTTTTGAGAATGGACTCACCGACAAAGTTCCCAGATGGGGCAAAAGCGACGCTCATGACCCAGGCTGACCGCAGTGGTATCACTTGCACCTTGTTGCCGCTCCAGGTGTCCCAAATGATCAGTTTCCCGTCGAGCGAGCCCGTGACGCAGTGCCTGTACGTGACAGTTCGATCAGTGCCATCGCAAACTAGACGTTGTGTCTTCGAAATAGTATAACAACTTGAACAGTAGGTACAATATGCCATACACATTTCTTAATATTTGTAGAATAAAATAAAAATAGCTTGGTATAATGTTTAGTGGTATTTCAAAATGGTTTGCCTAGTCGAATGTTGTTTTGTGTTTTGAGTGATTGTAGTAGGACAGATAAACGATTATTAAGCTATAATTAATAGCAAATCTTTGCAATAAATCAGAACAGTGTTGGGCAATTTGTAAAACTCATCCTTATAGCCTCGAATATTAGGAATAATATGTTATCTTTATTATGTCTTCTCTCGTGAACACTTTTGTGTCAGGAACGAAAACATCAAAATGGTGTTAACCTAGTTAGTATTAACGTCGACTCACGTCCACATGTATATATTCGGCGAAACACTATAAATGCGACCATGCGTCAAAGTTAATCATAGCAAGCTAAGGATACAGTCGCAGTGTATAATAATATCTTCGCACAGCTCCAGAGCGAGATGAAACTAACTGTCTCAACTATTAAAATATATAGTAAAGATAAATACCCAATTCATAAGAATAAACCATAGCAACAGTTTCATCTGACTCCATTTCAATCTTTAGGAATCATTTAAGTTATTGAGAATTTGCCTAAATTGTTTTTACTTATGATATTTATAATTAGGATTGTGTAATTTAAATTTAAAAAATGTTTATAAACTCACCTTGAGTCACCGCTGTAATGCACGGAATTGACCTTATTGATATGCCCCTTCAGAACTTTTTTCGTCACAAACCGTATCTTGGTCACATCCCCTAGATCCCCGCATTTTTCAGCAAGTTTCGCGTCAGCTAACTTTTCTTGTTCAGCCTGTAGAATATTACCACCAATTTATCAAAACATAATGTAACAAAACATTTACATAGAGACAATTTTCTTCGTTTAGCCATTTTAGTTTAAGACTTAAATATTATCCTACCTTTACTTTGGCGATCAAGTCAGTTAGCTCCTTCTTGAGGGCTGTGGTCTCCGGATCGTCCTTCGGCATAGTTTCTGCTGCGCACTACTGAGATACAGTGACACCAGCACGATCTCCCACGACTGGTATGAGCCGCAAACAGTACCGAGCTCCTCCTATCTATAATCTCATTTGCGTAAATTGGATTTCAATTTACTACTCCACCGAAGCTTTATATGTGCTAGCTGATGTACTGCTTACCACAATTTATTGTGTTAGGTACTGTTTAAATAATAGGGCAATGAGAATTATCTAAGTAAACCATTATACATACATACTTCATGATTTATCGCAAATTTTAAAGACATAAAGTAAAGGGGTAGAAATCTACAGATACAAAAAGTATGTTTTGTTATGTTAGATAATTTAAATGTCTCATGATTTTATTATATGGACTTGTAGAATGTAGAACAAATATCCGCGCTTTTAGTCGTTTTACCGTACCTATAGGTATTGGAAACAAGAACAGCAGCTCACACATAGGTCCCATTACAATAGTAAACCTAGGCTTCTCCCAGTTGTACAGTCTCTTCTGTGCCGTTAAGTTTAAGTCATCCTGTCTTCTGCATCTGGAAGTGGAATACATTTCGTTTTTTTTTCTTCTCAAATAATGTACATAACCCGGTAACATCAAATTATGCAATGACAATGTTATGATAAAAAAAATGTCTAACTACGCGGCTGACTAACTTCACTTTGGCCGATTTGCGCGGTCTATCCGTCATCCTGGTTTGTTAAACCTCTTTAAAAGATGTTCGCTCAGTAATATACATTTTAGTATAATGACAAGAAGAATATGGAAATCAAAATATAAATTCGAACTGCACACATAAAAAAAGCAATTTGCTTCAGGCAATTTCTTGCTATTTTTCTGTGTAAGGCGTAATTACTTATCTACTATTTCGTATTTAAAGTACATCATTTGCTAATCAATTGATAAACATGTGAATTTCTTCTTTTTATTTAGCCTTTTGTTAAAATTTAAGTCGCAGTTGAAAGTTTCGAAGCTTTGTTCAGTGCCGGCCAGTAATAAGGGCCACTGACACCCCGGCCGAAACCATATTGGCGCCCACTTCAGGGAAGCAATATCAAGTGTTAGTTTTTTGCTGATTGTATTGATATCGTTAGAGTCACTCCTCGACCACAAGCCCTCAAAAATTTTTCCATAAAAATATGCATATGCACAGAGCGTAGAGCTGAGATGCGTAGAGCACAGTTCTGAGGGTTTACACCAGGAGAGGCAAGAGACTCCAACTTAAGATCGTGGCGCCCTCCAGAATTTGTCGTCCTGGAGCATCGCCCCATCACGCCTAACGCCCCTAACGCCGGCACTGGATTTGTTCATTACGTCATCAGCGTAATGTGACTACTGTTGAGCAAAGGAAGAGCTCGAGGCGGATTGCAGATTTTAAATTTATAATTAGAAAAAAAAGAAAGTAGGTACTTAGTTACTTACATTTAGCTAAGAAAAGTCACATTGGTAACTTATGTTAGTGAAGTCTAAATAATTTTTTTATAGAAAGTTCCTAGATATGAATCACGATATTTATTGCCGGGTTTAGAATTACGGGTCACCACGACAACTAGCAAAGAAGCTTTTATCGCATAACAATCTAATATACCTACGAAATATTTAGAAAAACTGTACTACTTACTTACATTATAAGGGAAATTCAAGATAATTCGATATACTAAAATAAAAATAAAAAATTTAGCCGACCTTAGCACAAAATACATACCTACCTATATATTTTCATTTAATTCCTTTTACGAACGGCTCTGTAAGTAGCCATGATCAAATTTGGTCTTATTCAGATTTGTTCTCAGTTTAGTGATACGTATTCCATCAGATCCTCCTTAACCAGCTAACTGACATCAGTTTATCACGATGAAAATCTAACTACGTAATATGTACTTTCTACCATTTAGTTTTTTTTTGTGATAGGACGGCAAACGAGCTTACAGATTACCTGATGGTAAGCAAACAGCGCCGCCCATGGACACCAACAACAACAGAGGAATTACGAGTATTTCGCAGACCTTTTGTGGATTTGGGAGGTATTGGGGAAGAGGAGGGATATTGGACCTCCGGTTACCTCATTCAAACGTCGAAACAACGCTGTGGTTATTTCACGCCGGTTTTCTGTGTGTAGCCATTCATGCCGCAGCATGGCTCCCCCACACTTAAATAGTTTCAAATTCCTAATAGAAAAGATACCTACAAACTAAAAATAAGACAATTTCCTAAATTGTTGCGATACTGTAGGTAGGTAATATTATTTAAACATGATCTGTTACTTGATTTAAGTGAAGCGAGACGCTATTCCAATACAGTTAACTTTCACTCCATTGTTCCGCTTCTTTTTCGTCAAATTCTAAAGTTTGCCACAACCGCTAAGCCGTCAAAAATCGACACGATTTACAGTAACGCAACGAAGTATATAGCTACTTAGATATAGAAAGATAGTTGTAAAAAGTACAATATTATCATTCGATTCGAGAGTTTAACTGATAAATGTTTATACCATATTGCCGGCTCTATAAATTAGATGCAAGCATAATGTAAGAGTACTTATAAGTAATTTTGTTAAAAAAATCTTAACACTTCAATCATGTAGGTGTGCCAACGAGAGAAGAATTCAAAAGTTCGCTACACACTTCTAATGATTAAAAAGAAAGGGAGATAAATATACTTACACTAAACTTGTTTGCAGAATTTATGTGTAAAAATATATCTATGTATATAGGTACGTTAATTTACAGACCTGTAGTACCTGGACATAGGTAACGAAATTATTAGCCATTATTAAAAATAAAAAATCAAATCTAGACATATTTATAGGTAGCATTGGATAGATATACCTAAAATGAAGTCAATTCGGCGGCGATCTTGCAGAGATATCTAACCTAACTATGTAGCAGTCGTAATAAAACAAGTCTGGATATTCTTGAAACAAGCTTTTTGGTCAAAAGAGTATTTAATATGATTTACTTAATTAAAAATGTTTGGCTGTGTCGCGTCGGACTGATAGAGTGACTGATATTACGGTGTTCCAGTTACTTAATGTTTTCTTTTCGACGTTGTCCGCCGCTTTCATTTCACGCTTTGATAAGTTTTTCTGAAAGCAATAAAAATAGAGGACAGCTCTCACCTTCCCGTTGTAATCAATTTGATAGGTTCCATTGGCGATGTGATTGCAGTCGCTCGTTGGGAGCTTTAAGGAAAACATGGTTTACAAACGGCGCAGTTTTCCTTTTAAATGTTGCTGGTTATTTGCAATATTCATTGCTCTTAAACAGGGAACTTTATCTCAAGAATTTTGCGAAAAAAATGCTCAGGACGAAAACTGCAAAGAACATTTCCTGTATTCCAAAGGTAAAATTATTGCATTTCATTTTTTTTATATTCTGCCTTGCGATGTTATTTAAAAGTGTGTACCTAACTACTAGATATTTAAATTAATGTTTCCTCAAACTGGTATTACCTACATATTTTCATTTTATGTGTACTATCAAAACTTAATACTATCGATTATATTTTAACAATAATTGCGGCCCGGCTACATCCATACGATTTCTGATGATAACTTACTTAACTTTCTAGGTTCATGTTTATGAAGTTTACCTTGTAGTTTTTGTTACTAAAGCATGTATTCTTGCGAATAGGTAGGTAACTTACCTAATAATCCTCAGTGTACAATAACGATAACGATATGAAGACACCTAAGTAATATTATTTCTTAGTGTCTAGGCATGTATTTCTTTTCATTTGCTAACAAACACTACAAATATATCTCACTAGCTATTCTCGCGCGGTTTCACCCGCTGTTCAGCTCCATTTGATCGTAGCGTGATGTTTTATAGCCTATAGCACTCAGGAACATTGTAGCTATATACCAGTGAAAGAATTTTGGCAATCCAGCCAGCGGTTGCAAAAATTTCCCCCTACATACAAACTTACAAATTTTACCTCTTTTTAATATTAGTATAGACAAGCTTCAGCCAACGACTTCGCCCGTAGTTCCTACATACCAGGCTTTGAGTTATATCAAAGGAAGCTAACTTTTATGCACGACATTGTTTAGTTAGATCGGCGATTTCAAATTTATTAGAACTGTTTTCCTCGCGATATTTGAATTAACTCTCATCCAAATAATGTTTAAAAATACAAATTAATATAATTCTATACAGGCACCGTAATGTTATTTACCTAAATTAATTAAAATGTAAGACCTAATGTATGATATTTATGTACAAACGTAAATAAATAAAATTTGATTGATTGATTGATTTGAGTATTTAACACGGAAAAATTGCAAGAACCATAGCAATTTGTCCAGCTTCACGCATGGGAAGCAGGCGGCAAAATTTCTCTAAATGAAGTACCGTCAAGTACCGTGGCCCCGGCCTGGAGCCGTAGATGATACGCGGGTGGTTTTCAGTCAGTAACAGTCTGATAATTCCTCTCGCCTCACCCTGAGTGAGAAAAGTCATTTGACATTACCCCTACTCAAAACTAGTCTAAACTATTCACGTCCCGAGGCGACAATGACATTGATTGATGTAATTGATAATGAAATAAACACATACGTTCTTACAAATACATAGATATGTACCTAGGTCCTCAAATAAATCTCCGTATCCAAGTCCACACAACATGTCAGACCAAATAAGAAAAAGCCGTCAGTGTGACTAATTGACTGCGGTTAATCCCCACTTTGTTTTGAAAAACGTTGACCGAATGTACTTAAGTATAACTTAATTACCCAGCTATCTCATAGTTATTATCGCTACATACTTACCTACTATAAAACAAAGTCGCTTTTCTATTTCTATATCCTACGCAACGGATTTTGATGCGATATTTTTTATTGATATACCTGTTTTAGTGATACAAAAAAATTGAAAAAAAAAATTAAAAAAAAAAATTGAAAAAAAATCCCGCTCTTTCTCCCGCTGCTCGGCTCCATTTAATGATAGCGCATTTATCATTTAACCTATAGCACGAAGGAATTATGTAGCTATCTATC